TCCTTACAATAACTTTTGTATGTGACCCAAATATTTGTAAGCAACTGATATGGCTTTCTTTTCAATCAAATTGGATTGATCACGATGAAACACAAACACATTGTTTAATCATCCACATTTAACTGACAAATAGTGGAGTTCACAAATTCAGTGTTATGTGTCTAGGACTTAATTATAAATGATGGATTATGGGCCTCAGGGTATGTATCATGCTTACCGAGAATCTTGAAAGGCACATTCTTTCTTCCCACTTTTAAAAATCTGATCAATCTGTGTTGTAAGAGACAGCTGGGTATGTAAAGTCAAAAGCAAAGTTTAGACTCTTACTAGTGTTTTGAATGGAGGATTCTTAAGGAGGGCAGCTGAATTCATTGTCAGTTATCTATATCCTGTTTGTGAAAAATAGGTGTAACACTTGTTATAACACAAACCCAACCCCACTGTCGATAAGGTGATGTCAATGTGCACTAAGAGTAGAGCAGGGTAATTGAGTATTATTAGCCGAATTGATAATGTAAGGTGGTTACCATAAAGAGTTTTAAAGCTGATGTTTTGAGCATAAGCCTTTTGTCAGAGCAAAGGGCAATTAGGGCTAATGCTTGAAATGTCAGCTTTTAACTCCTTTTTGGTGGCCAATTTACATTTATCAACTCACTTGATAATACTAAATTATCCTGTTGTTACATTTGGCCAGTGATAATAGTTTCTTGTCACTCAATACTTTTGAAAAAAATATCTGCTATATTGATTGCAATTAAACAATACCCTTTTACAGTTGACTTAACCATCTAGAACAAAATCAGGATTTCAAAAATCAAACCTTGGAATGTTGTGAGAAAGTCTGCAGAGGGTGATTTTCCCATGTTCCAGAGTCATCATCATTAGTTGTGGGTTGTTTAGATGCTGATGTTGAAGCAGCTGTGTTAAACAAAAACAAGAAATGGTATCACAAACTCTGTAACACCCCAACATCAGTATACATACTCTCCATACTGTTCTCTATACATTTCCCAGTCACATGAACAGATTCCTGAAAACAGAGAAATTTACATGATAGAAATCTACTGGGAAAATGTCAGCATCAGCTGCAAAAAGGGACAACTCTATGAAATTCACTTTGGAACTGCATCAAAAACATAACTGTTTGGTCATCTTTGAACATATTTGAAAATATGGACCAATTTAGGACTTCGGTTTGTTGGGGAATGAAGAAGCTAATACCTTAAGTTGCATTTGTTGGTTTGACCAGGCTGCATTTTTGAGAATTGATATTCATTTTTCATGAACAGTTTGATAGAAAGCTTCAGGCTTTCTTAGCTAAACACTTCAGAGAACTGCAGTTCAGTAAATCTCAAAAGCTTTTGCTAATTTCCAGGCTAGTGTTGATTTGTATGAAAAATGTAATTAAAAATTCCAATGAAATCTGTCTATTCAGCCATGTAAAAGAAAAATATTTATTTGCTAGAATAGTCCACATACCTGAATAATCAATCCTGTTGATAGTCCTCTCTCTTTGAAAGCTATTACCATAAATCATGGGTTAATATACATTAAAAGTCAATGAGTACAGATATTAAAATATTAAAAATAGTAAGACTTTTTGCCCCAATCCTCCTCCATGCTGAGATTTCCATGACCCAAGGATTTTCACCCAGCACTACCACTAGAGTTATCTGGTCATTGTTGATATGGCAGTGTAGAGTTTTGTTGGGTTTGTTAAGTATTCCCTTCTATGTAGACAAGCCAAATGTGCAATGAACATGGATATGGGCACTGTTTTCTGGAACAGTCATTCCCTAAAGAACAGTTGAATCACCTATGTTTTATATGTTTGATTCTGTGTATTTTGCAATTTTGAATCAACCAGCAAATCAATGTTTTTATACTCACCAGTTGCAATTTGCAAGGCTCAAACCACATGCCAGTAAACTCTCCTTGTTTGCTGTTCTTTGGCAGCATCCATTCACCTGAACATTTTCCAGGCAAAAATCACAATTATAGTATAAAAAAATGAAAAGTTCATAAAATCTTAAGGGTAAAAGTTGATTTTTTCTTTCAAAGAAATATTGCAATAACTTCTTATTTTGCCTCAAAAAGTATATGTATTTAAAGTAGGGAAATCTTATTTCCCTATTCACGAATAGAAAAGTAACAGCTCCCATGAAAACACAACTATTCAAGGCTGATTAATTTACTGAATAAGCAAAGAAAAACAGAGTAACATTTCTGTCAAAATTAAAGTTTATCATACATTCTTCTTCAGTAAATGGCTTGTATTTGAGTATCAGTATATTAAACCTTGGACCAGCCTGGTCTGAATTTGCACATTTAAGTTAACAATAGCTGCAATGCTATTGAAAAGGTGAGGGTACTCAATGTCCAATGTCAGACAATATGGCAACTTAAATTCAGTTTTTCACCTTGTAGCAATATTATTTATCAAACTCAAACCGCCTAATTGGGCTTTTTTCTGTACTAATGACTAAAAAATTACTATAAATTTCAAGTTTGAGGTAAATTAAAGGTAAATTTACCACTTAATATCATTACAAATAAATAGCTAAAGGATCAATAGCCTACTTGTAGCTACAGAGCTACATGCATAAGTTGGCTTCATATAAAGTTTGCATGCATATGGCCTTCAAATTTACATAACTTTTCCTCATCATATAGGTCTCAGACATTACAATCAAACACTTGCAATATTTACAATACCTTTTCTCCATCTTGTGGTTGTTTTAATGACACATTTTCATGTTCTGATGGTTGAGGCCTAGAGCAAACTATGAGATAACAACATCACAAATGTTAATGCCTTGAGTCAACCAAAAATTTTAAAGTAGATAAATAAATAATCATCTCTTAATAATGTAAATAAATACACCTTTATGTTCAAATGGAGTTGACAATTTTTTTAAAATTTTATAACTACATGCAATTGTTTACATGTTATGCCAGAATTAATTTAACAAAAGTTATTCAAAAGAAGATTAGCTTCATTTGGTTCATTATTAGTTTTTCCAATCATGTCTCCCTGGAGAAGGCATTTATGGTATATAGGACATATGGATGTGGATAAATGATAAAGGAAACTGAGAGTCACAGGCATGCCTGTAAGGGACTCCCATATGTTTCTCACTCAAAACTTGGAGGAGAATTGCAGGAAGGGAAATGAGCGATGAAGGCTGGACATGAGGGCAGTTTGACCACCTGGCAACTGACAGATATCGATGGCGTTCCCTAACTGAGGCCTTAAGTCAAAGGACACGCAATGAGGATTAAGTAAGTTAGTTAGACCTTAACATATGCTTCAACCCACCCTTTTTAACCCAGTATCCAGCCTGTCTATTATTTGGCTTTGTGTCTCACAGCATCATAAAGCTTCAAATACCTGGAAGTTGGTTTCCGTTAACTTGTGGTTCTTGTTGTCTTATTTCCGTGTCCTCTTCACAGTTCATATCCTCAATTACACCAGGGCCAAGAGGAGCTACAACATCACCAGGGCTAAAAACAAACAACAAAAATAGTGATTAATATTTTTATTATTGCATCTCTATCTGATTGGGGTATAACACTAGCTTAAAAATGGCTGTGGGTTTGTCCAATACACGGTACTTGAGTGCCATACAAACAGAACAGATTATTTCATTGTGACATGTTATAATAGATTTCCTTGAACAAAAATTTGATAAAACAAAGATTCACTAATGCATTTATAACTAAAAAAAATAGTTTAATTTCAATCCCATTTGTTTTTCACCCAGATGGATAGAAGAACTATTTTAATACTGTGAGAAGTACTAAAATAAGCAAGGTTCGATACATATTATTTTTCAATTAAACCAAAAAAATATATGTTCTGCTTTCAGCATACATGGCATACAAATAAAGATATTAATAAGAAATTAATCTTAACAAGATGCCTATGGTGATTCCATGAGATATGTTGGCTACCAAGCACAGCATTGAAAGGAATTGTGCAGTTACAGTAAACTTCCATGATTAGTAAGTTAGATCAGCCAAAAAAATCACTGTAGAAAATTTTAGTGTTGAAGAAACAGTGACTGTATTTGTAGTTGAAAATAGCAAAGAGTGGCAGCTCAAAAACCTTAGGATTTTTCCGAAACAAACTGGGACTTGACGGGCTGATCCCCTTCTGTTTCTCATTCTGTTTCATCTCTTCTAAGAGCAACAGCTCGGTAAAAACAATTTCCATCTTTGCTGAGAACAATATATCTCCTTTGAGGACAGATATTTTCAGCCACTGTAATTTGTTTATTAAATATGTTAATAAGTGCAAAAAAGGCAGTACACACTTAAATACAACTAAAAGACTGCACTGAGTTATTTCCAAGTGATTTGTAGTTAATTTTGTGGTATTTGGAGACCATTAGGCAATGTCAATATCACAATAATTTGATATATACAAAACAGATTATTTCGTCCAGCAAAATCAACTAAACAGATATCACCTGAGGTTATTGTAATTTTATTTTAAACTTTTCTCTCAAGTGTTTACCATATTTGGAAAATTATTAGTTGTTAGAAGCATAAAGCAGATATCAACCAAAATAATACCCAACTTACTCGTTTGATGCTTGATCAGCACCAGCAGCATTCGGAAGCTTGTAAAAACAAACAAACAGCTATTAAAAATCATGTCTTAACATCCTTACAGTACTGCATTTTTTCACATTGAGACTACGTTCAATGTAACTTAATATTGCTTCTCATCAATCTAACAAGGTTTTCCTCAGGTCTCTGAGAACATATGCATTTGATATCAAAAGTTCTGCATTTCCTAGGTCTCCTAGGATGTCTGTGTGTCCCATGGAGAACTGCGCCAATGACTCTGATTTCATTTCATTTTCATTTCATTTTATTTTTATTTAAACACGGTCAATTCATCAGCCTAAAAAATACATATCACATACGCTAGAATATTTAAAACTCAAACTATATACTAAACACTAAAAGCTGTTTTCCGTGAGTGCCATGTGTTAGACGTAAAGAATGTCATTGATCTTACGTTTAAATATCCCCAGAGACTCTGTGTTCCTTATATCGCATGGTAGACTGTTCCATAATGTGGCGCCATTGTAGCTAAAACTTTTTCGGTAATAATTAGTGCGCGGTAAGGGAACATTGAGCTTATTTTCAGAGTCCCTGAGGTCATAAGCAGAGTCACACCACGTAAACTTTGAACACAGATACTCTGGAGCTAGCCTGTGCAGACATCTAAACATCATGGTGGCTTTGTGAATTTCCTGCTGGCGTGTAAGATTTTTCCACCTTAAAAACTTGAGTAGCTCAGTTGCATCAGCATCATAGTTAGAGAATGTCAACACACGGGCTGCTCTATTCTGCAGTTTGTCTTGTAGCGTTTTCCCACAGTTACCCCAAACAATGTCACAGTAATCAAAGTGAGGTTTTACTAAGGCTTGATAAACGAGATGTAAGGTTGATGCTGGGATCAGGTGCCTAATACGCTTTAGGGCCCCGATACCAGAGGCGATCTTTTTGGTTAATTTTTCGATGTGACTATGCCAATCGAGTTTATCGTCTATTATTACACCAAGCGATTTCGTAGCTGTAACCTGGCTCACTTGAGTATTGTTCATTGTAATTGTTGGTGAAGCTGTAAGAGTATTCAGTCTCTGCCTCGACCCTATTAGCATGAATTCGGTTTTGGTCATGTTCAATGTAAGTTTGTTTGCTTGTAGCCAGTTGAAAACGTTTGCTAGGTCTTCATTTAGACAAAACTGAACATTCTCAAGATTACTGCCCGCATATGTAAGGTGCGTGTCGTCAGCGTACATTCTTGGTTTACAATTTGATAAGCAATTTGGAAGATCGTTAATATATAATAAGAACAATAATGGACCGAGGATGGTACCCTGAGGGACGACGCATGTCAGTGAGTAGCTATAGCTGACGAGGGGCTAACGCTCGAAACGTTAACTTTTTTACCCTTTACGGTGGCCAATTAACGTTTTCAACTCAGTTGTTAACACTAAAGTACCTGCTATACTCTTCCACCGACGCAGCACCACAGTTTCTTCAGAAACTTACCCCCTTTTTATGACTACGAAAAGTTAAGCTTATCTAAATCTGAAAGGTTTTAATTTTTTTACCACTGTGAATTCTACGTGTATGTTCTCTACTGCTACAGGACGTCTAGCGGAGCCCGTCGGTGAGGTGGACATCTGATCTTGACTTTCATTCGAATTTTCCATTTTCTGAAAAAGCAAGAAAGTAAATTATGACGTCGTAAGAAATTCAATAACTCGCTTAGTCTTCATGGAACATTTACGTCGTTTTTTCTCGGATTTACAGGTTCTCAGCGTTAAATTCGACGCTCTATAAAAAAAATATAAAGGAGGCTAACTAGATTTGGATCTTAACATACATTTTCTGCAATTTTGACAAGCTACCCCGCTTCTGAAATATCGATCCCTTTCCGACAACGCGTGGTGTTTCTCTGTACTTCAAAATATTATGAAGCAGTGCTAGTCACGTGAAGACTCACATGACCGTCTTCTCTCGAATCCAAGCCTCTGCTTTGGAAGACAAAGGAGAGAAACCCTGGACACCAGGCCGTTTCAACGCTCAAACGAAATAAACCCAATTATTAGAGCGAAATGAACATTTGAAATGGTTGCTAAAATAGGATAACAAATTACAAGTTGCTACAATTGTACGTGTAGAAATCGAAAATGAAGGATAATAAAAGACACTTACAGACGTTGTACGAGATCAGGGGACAAATTGTTGGTTATAGACGATGTAAAACGATTTAAAGAGAATAAGGAAAATGATCCATCACAGTTAAACGATAAATCCGAATTAATAAAATTTGCTGTAAAGAACTTATATGAATGACACAAACAAAGAAAAATTGTGCAAAATAAACAAGGTAACAGAATATCGATGACAGTAATGTCCATAAAAACAAAAGAACTCAATGAAAAAGCAACAAAGAATAGAAAAAAGGATGACATCAAAAAAAGAAAAACGCGAGATAATTTTGGCGGCAACACTCATTATTTCCTTGGAGAAAATTAAGCCGGATAAAGTCCTCAGACTTCTGCCGAAATTTGATGCAAGGTTCATCCAGAGCACTAAAAATAACCCTTCCACCCAAACCACAAGGAGCTTTCTGACCTGGAGTGTTTGTCTTCCATCAGTGTCTTCTTACTGACTCTTTCCCATCTGACCATCAGAGTAAATTGTAAGATGTAGAAGAAATTGGAAAGAGGTGAAAAGGAACCATAAATGGTCTCATCTTCTCAATTTTTAATTCACTACATCTTAAAATGTCCCCATCAGAGTCAAACTGGTTCTGAAATCAGATCTTGTCTTGCACGGAGAAGATGCAGCTGAACCACGCACGTAATTGAAATAGAATGCATTTCTCAAGGACCAGGTAAAATTAAAACTGAGAAGAGAAAAATAAAAGTAAATGAAAGAACAAACAAGCAAGGGCGACCAAAATGTTAAGAAATTAAAAACTAAACCACACAACATACCGCAGCAAATGCCAGAGTGGGCTGGACACACATTCATGTGTGGCTATTACGTTATGATATTTCCAGAACATTCCCTTTGTGGAATTCAAACTATCCTTTTCTTTTTGGCAGATAAATCTGTTCAATTATTTTATTTTGCTAGTTGACTAGCACACGCATTTGAAGAAAGTCTTTTTACCCCTTAATGTCAAAACTGTTTGAGGTGCGTTTCTTTCTCTCCGAAGTTTGGCTTATTCAACGGCAATTTCCACAAAAATTAATCTTTGCCATCTCTGCGGATTTAAATCAGTATCATTTGAGAGTAATTGTTTGTTATAATTAACTAAAGAAAACGCACACAAACAAAAGATATCTTTTCATTAAGTCTGAACTTTAGGAAAATAATTCAGGTGCTAATTTGTTCTTTTTCTTCAAAGTAAAAATGTTTTCCGCGGCAACCAAGACAAAACGAATATTTTGTTTATAAAGCAACAACGAACCGTGACCATCCCTAGGAAAATATATTTCCGGATCCTTTTAGGCACATCTCAGATCTTGAAAAAAGGTCTCGCTGATTGTGTGTTAACACGTGTCTATATTTTATTACCAAATAAGTCGTATAAATTTGTTTCATTGTTCTACAAGATAGGTGTTACTGAAAGCAATTCTTGAAAATAGAGGTTTTCTTCTGAGAATACTTGTTTCAATCCCCGGCGGTGCATAGTTTCTCTTTTAACATTCACTAACAAGCACGCCAACCAATGTTGTGTTTACTTTTTTGTGGCAAGGTTTATGCACAACAAAACTAGAAGAAAATAAAAGCTACACGTATTATTGTGCAGAGAAGCTCTTATCCCCTCAAAATATTCCCTAGCAAACACTTAAACAAGCGAAAAACTATTTGCCCCCGAAGCCATGCAGTGCGCACTTGAGTTGTTACACGTGGATCACGAGTGTTTTTTTCACGAAGTACAAGCGGTGTTGTGACATTGATACACGCACCTGTTGACCTCAGTTTCCTTCCTTGAGGTGATGGCAATTTTCTCAATTTCTGTTTCATGTTTAATGAATTGCTCAAAAGTGCTTCCAAACATTGTTGTCCGTCAAGTGAGTGCATACTTGAAAGTTTTAAACTGCGCGCCGTACCTGACTTGTTTTTCTAGCGAATCCACGTGGCTAAATACTCTTCCCGACGATTGGCTTGTTTCATTTCTTGCGTCATTAACGGTCATTTCAGAGGTTTTCTTTTATGATGCAAAACTAAATTTCTAGTGCATTCAAAACTTATATTGTTTGTTTTGAGCCAAATTTTTTTGTGTGTTTCGGTTTTTCGATGATGTTCCGCAAAGAAGTTTGTGCGATGGTGACCCACAAAAACTGATAAGAAAATGGTGTAGAAAAAATAGAGAGTCTTCATTACATATAGGTTTTTTGACAGCAGTACTTAAAAAATTGTGGACTCAGCTTTAGGAAAACAATCAAGGATAAGACTCACAACAAGCCTTGCCTCACTTCATCTTTGTTGCTAATATTTTCCTGTTGAACTTGAGAAAACGAAAATATTTTGCTTGTAGAACAAAGCCGAACCATAAGTATCCTGACAAAATAATTCAATGACTTTTCGGCAATTCGCGTTTGAAATGAAAGCTTCGCTGAAAAGCCATTCACATTAATTACCCCCATCCCCTAATTACCGGTATTTTTTATTTTTTTACAATTAGAATTACCGAAAGCAGTTCTCGCGAGGCTTTTCCTTTGAGAATACGGTTTACTACTGTGGCTTCAAAGGAACATACACTTTTCTCTCTCTTTTTTTTCACTTGCGACTTAGCTGCGACTTTCTTGCGACTTAGCTGCGACTTTCTTGTGACTTGCTACTTTCTTGCGACTTCGCTGCGACTTTCCTGCTACTTTCTTGCGACTTAGCTGCTATTTTCTTGCAACTTTCTTGCTACTTAGATGCGACTTTCCTGCTACTTTCTTGCGACTTACCTGCGACTTGCTACTTTGCTAGGCCGCGTACGTCGGCAGGCCAGCTTGTTTTATTTGAAAACAACGTGGATTCCTATCAATAATCGGTATTCTGTTTTGCCTTGGCTTTACAGTATAGCTATGAAGTTTTTCGCCGTTTTCGCTTTCATTTTGATGTGCTCTACGTCACTGGCAGTGTTTCTATCAGTTACTTTCCGGCAATAAGGAACAATGCAGTAATGCGCGACGAGATAATCAAGAATTATTTTAATCTCGGGCTTACTGCACCTTACTGATTATGGGTAAACATGGTCTGGGGACAATAAATGAAAATGGTGAACGTTTCGCAGACTTCTGCGCAGACTGCAACCTTGTCATCGGAGGAAGCTTGTTCCCGCACAAAACAGCACACAAGGCAACATGGGTATCGCCTGACCACGTAACAGAAAATCAAATAGACCATATATGCATCTCACAGAAGTTCAGGCGATCTTTATTGGATACACGCGTCAAGAGAGGTGCAGACGCTGCATCAGACCATCACCATCACCTCCTAGTTGCCAGGATAAAGTACAATGTGCACTACCTCATGGATAGTGATACAGTACAGAGCTTC